TACAGTATTTCACAAAGTTGACCAAAAGAAGCTGTGATAATAGAAATCTGTTGAGACATTTTGGTTATAACTGGAATTTCAATCCTTTCCACCATTCTACAGACACCAGGTGCCCTTAATGTATATCAAACCACATTATACTGTGCCCTTGGTATCCACTGGGTTAAGTTCCAGGACCTGCTGTGGATACCAAAATTCATGTATTAAATATAGTGGCATAGTAAAATGGTGTCCCTTCTGCAGTGGGACCTTGGTATCCACTGTGGTTTGGTTTCAAGACCCCCATGGATACCAATTTCCGTTGATGTTCAAGTCCCATTATATACAGTGGTGTAGTAAAATGGAATCCCTTATATAAAATGGCAAAACCAAGGTTTGCTTTTTGGAATTTATATATTTTTAAAATATTTTCAAGCCGTGGATGCTTGAACCTGTGGATAAAAAAATTAATGGATATGGAGTGCTGAATGTACACTTATATGTAATGCTGTGTGTGTGTGTGTGTATGTGTGTGTTTATTTATTTGCAAATATTTAAAAATTGTTCAACAAATGGAAATTAGAAACTACAGTTACTACACTAAATCATATTTTCACTTTGCTTTTTTTTTATTTCTCCCCACCATTCTAAAAGTAAAAGAATAATGTATTTTTTAAAAATTAAATATCTTCCAAAAATGTCAGATTTAGTTGTTTGAGGAGGATGGGAGGGAATACAACAGACAAAAACCCAGGAGTATTTTCAGTTTGTTGTTAGTCAGAAATTTAGCAGTCCTATGATAAAAAGAAAAGCCTTTGAAACTCTCTGTTAACTATGTCCTAGAGCAGGGGTAGGCAACCTTTCCCCTTTAAGGGCCAAGGGACTTCAGCTCCCAGAAGCCTCAGCCATGTTGGCCAATAGTCCCATGTTGGCCAATAGCTCCTGGGATTCTGGGAGCTGAAGTCCCTCGGCCCTTAAAGGGGAAAGGTCACCTACCCCTGTCCTAGATAGCTAAAAGCTGTTCTAGTTTGGATCATCTTACCAGTAAAAAAGGCAAATCACAATGTAATGTAACTACTACGGCTACTGTGGGGTGTAACACCTACACACTAACAGCTAATACAGTAGGATGGTAGAGCAGTGTGAATGTGTGGTTGTTGCCCTGGCAAAAGGCTACTGATAGAAGGATTCTGCAAAAGATGGCCAAAGATGGAGAGAAGAACTGAGAATTGCTGACCTGCATACATTTCTGCTTTTGTCATCAGGCAGTCGTCTAATTTAATGGGAATACAGCTATGTGGCACTTTGGGCATTATCACACGTGGCCCAGAAACCGAAAATAAAGTGGAAATGAGGCA